CTGTTGTGGCCTCTCCCGTTGCGGAGCACAGGCTCCGGACGCGCAGGCTCAGCAGCCATGGCTCACGGGCCCAGCCGCTCCGCGGCATGCGGGATCTTCCCGGACTGGGTCACGAACCCGTGTCCCCTGCATCGGCAGGCGGACTCTCAACCACTGTGCCACCAGGGAAGCCCCCTCCCCATTTTTTTAAATAATAAAAATGCATTGATTTCATTAGAAAACTGTAGTAAAAATGTGAAGAAAGTAGAAGAGCCCATATAGATGTTAGTGGAGAGATGGAAAATGGTGGGAGGGAGAAAATAAAAATAAATGCTATTTATTCAGCATATTATAGATCTTAAGTCATATTATATGATGTGTCTGCAGTATCTTATTTAGTCCTTACAAAGACCTTAAGGTATCGGGATTTTGGCTCCACTTCCAGGGGGGAATCTGAGACTTAGGGAGAGGTGTAGGAGCTTGCACAGGGGCAGCTCCAGCCTGCACTGCTTTGGTTTCCACGGTGTTCTCTTCCCCAGGGACTCTGTAGTGAGGGAGAGGTTGGCCCATTTGTGGTCTGGCTGTCCAACATGGCCAAACCCTGGAGATGCGTGGCAGAGGAGGAGGAACTGCAGCCAGCTGATGCAAGCTTTGTGAGCCTGCCCCATCTGTCCTGGCTGACAGAGTCAAGTCTGGCACCCAAATGGGGCACCTGTCGTCTAAGTCAGTGCTCACCCTGGCACAGGGGCTGGCAGCTCTGTGCCCAGCTACAGTGCTGTGCAGAGAGCAGGGGTAAGGCAAGACGAAATCGATACCTGATCTCCTCGTTACCTTGTTTTCCTTCACAAATACTAGCCCTGCTGTGTGCCAGGTATTTCCTATCTGAAAGCTTTACGAATGCCAACTCTTTTCATTTTCACATCCACCCTATGAGGTGGGTATATTGTTATTCTCATTTTACAGAGGAGGAAACTGAGGTACAAAAGTTAAGTAACTTGTCCAAGGTTATACAGCTATTACATTAAATTACTTGAAATTGCCAATATTTGACAATTTTTGACGAATAAAAATGATGATTATATATGCTTAAATGTAATAGCAAGTAGAGATACGGAGATTTGAACCCAGATAAGCTGGCTTCTGAACCTGTGGGTTAACACTATGTGATGCTTTTTCTTACTTATCTCACTCCTCCATCCCTTCCCAGCCATGGCATTTCCAAACAGTACTTTGGTTGCTGGTCTTTCAGGAGAGCATGATGCTGCCATGTTATCAGATCATATCTTGATTTATCTCTTCTCTGTGCATCTTCTTGACATCTCCCCTTTCTATTCAGACTTGCACTTTCAGACAACTTAAGTGCTTACGTACTTTTGTTTGTATGTGACTGGGTGAAGTGCTGCCTAAGCCATACCATCTTGAGTTTGCTCTTTGGGGCTCTGCAGGGAGATGCCAGGTCACACCCGAAAGGAAGCACACTTAGCACAGAGCCTCCTTCCTGAATCGTCATCCCTATGGTAGCCCTCCCTGCCCTCTCTTGGCCTCCTTGGCTCACAACCCCAAAGCACCCTTCCTTTGGCATCATAGCTAACTCTCATTATAAGCCCCTTACCTCCATTCTGTCTGGTTGCGTATATCCACCCCTCCCCCCTTCACTGGTCTTCTTGTCTCTGTCTGCTTTTCTCTGCCACCAGCCTCTTCTTTCTCCAGTGCTAAGGAAAGAGTCATATACTCGTGTCATTTTACCCTTCTCTGAAGGCTCAGGTGTTTGTTAATATTCTTGTGAGACAAAGCTCTAAATCATGGCTTTACAAACCTTCCTTCATCAGATGTTCCTGGTTGACCCCGCAGCTCCTCTCACATGGTCATCTCTGCTCAGGGTTGTAAGATCAAGACAAAACCCCACCTGTCTTCACCTCCAGGCGTTTTTCTTCCTTCCATGGAAACTCCCTCCCTCCTCCTCTTTTACCTTTGCCTCTCCCACTTTGAGTAAGACGCTCTGCCTCCTCCAGACCCTCAGAGGTTCCTGGATTTAATCTAGAAACCTTATCATTGTGTCTGGGACCATTCCTGGACTAAAATCCGGGAGTTTCACCTTCTAGACCTACTCTGGATGAGATGAAACACCTGTGCCTCTGTTTCTTTTTCTGTAACTAGGAATAATGTGTAGTGCCAGGACCAGGGTGCCATCTGCACACAATGTACCCCCCACCTCTACTTTTATACCTCTGCCACCTTGATTCAGGCTTCCTCTTCCATCTGGACCGGGTGGCAGCTTCTCCACAGTCTCCTGCCTGCCACAGCTGCCTGTGCGCCCCTCCCCCCCCCAACTGTTCCTCAATCTGATAAAAGTTTTGAGGTAAGAG